TTTGGACTGCGCTCGGCTCGGTCAGAACATCCTGAGACTGTGTTGCAGATTCTGCCTGTTCTCATTATTGTCATTGTGAAGAAAGTTACGTAATGTTCATGTGTGAGTCTGTTGTGTACAAACTACACAATGTACCTCCTGTTGTGTTAACGCTGTCTATCGGTGAGTGTGGTTTGCGATGTTAACAGTTTGCTGCTACAACGCCGGACTTTTGCATAATTATTTTTCGAAAACATTGTTGTTCGGATTGTTCCTTTACATAACTGTGGTCCTCCATGGTTCTTTTATATAACTGTGGTCCTCCATTGTTCTTAACTGTGGTCTTCCATAGTTCCTTCTTCCAACTTCTTCCAACTAGCTCATGTGAAACGAAAACACGATTCTCGCATCCTTTTTGTCCCTCATCCACCACTGTTTATCAAGATGGTGCATTGACACGGAGAGCACTCCTCTCTCATGGACACTTATAAGTTAAATTCTAAGCCTATGAATACAATTCAAAAAAACATGGTGGAGGTAAATATTCTTAAAAAGGTCACATTTTTTAGTTAACATATTTTTTTCATATGGAGCAGGGTGGCTTTAAGTACCCTAGCCTTAATCATTTTGAAATTGCTTCTATTTTTCACGCTCTTTCGGCTGACGTGAAAAGGTAATATATGAAAAAATGTAATCAGTATTCATCACATATAAGAGAGAAGTAGATCAGAGATGTGCAAAACAGGAAACACTACTTCCTCCGATGGTTAACTGTCAGTTTGTTGACACTCAAACTTAGAGTAGAGGCAATACCAGAGAGAGAGACCAGAGAGAGAGTCCAGAGAGGGAGACCAGAGAGAGAGACCAGAGAGAGAGACCAGAGAGAGAGACCAGAGAGGTAGACCAGAGAGAGACCAGAGAGAGAGTCCAGAGAGGGAGACCAGAGAGAGAGACCAGAGAGAGATCAGAGAGGTAGACCAGAGAGACCAGAGAAGAGAGACCAGAGAGAGACCAGAGAGGTAGACCAGAGAGAGACCAGAGAGAGACCAGAGAGGGAGACCAGAGAGGGAGACCAGAGAGGGAGACCAGAGAGGGAGACCAGAGAGGGAGACCAGAGAGGGAGACCAGAGAGGGAGACCAGAGAGGGAGACCAGAGAGGGAGACCAGAGAGAGACCAGAGAAAGAGAGAGAGCTATCAGAGATACAGATCAGAGAGAGAGAAGCGGTTAAATGTTGATGTTGGAGTAAACACAGCGCATGAGAAGCACGCCGTTTAAAAAGCACAATCGCTCACACAGAAATCTGCGAAAGGTGGACTATGCTATAGTGAGAGACCTCTGTATTAGACACTTGTTCAGTAACAGAGAATGCCATCTTTTATATTCTTCAAAGGTTTTGGCACCTCAACCAAGTGCAGGAAAATCAGCAGATCAAAATGACTTCAATCCAAAAAGTCCAGCTTCAAGTGGCGTCCTGAAGGGCGTGTGAGATGAGTGGCCAGTGCTGAGTCGAGGCTGGAGATTTGAATGCCAAATGCAGTTCTAAAGCACCAGTGAGTGATGCTTTGTGAAGGGCCTACGCTCCGAACACAACAGAGCGTGCAGATTTAACCAGAGGAGACCTGTACCATGAGTCACAGCCAGCTTTAACCAGAGGACACCAGAGAGAGAGACCAGAGACCTGACTTGCGAAAGTATTCGGCCCCCTTGAACCTTTCAACATTTCGCCACATTTCAGGCTTCAAACATAAAAATAAAAAATTGGACAAAAGATTGAAAAATTGTCAAGAATCAACAACAAGTGGGACACAATCATGAAGTGGAACGAAATCTATTGAATAATTTAAACTTTTTTAACAAATAAAAAACTGAAAAGTGGGGCGTGCAATATGCTTCGGCCCCTTTGCGCTAATACTTTGTAGCGCCACCTTTTGCTGCAATTACAGCTGCAAGTCGCTTGAGGTATGTCTATCAGTTTTGCACATCGAGAGACTGGAATTCTTGCCCATTCTTCCTTGCAAAACAGCTCGAGCTCAGTGAGGTTGGATGGAGAGCGTTTGTGAATAGCAGTCTTCAGCTCTTTCCACAGATTCTCGATTGGATTCAGGTCTGGACTTTGACTTGGCCATTCTAACACCTGGATACGTCTATTTGTGAACCATTCCATTGTAGATTTGGCTTTATGTTTTGGATCATTGTCCTGTTGGAAGATAAATCTCCGTCCCAGTCTCAGGTCTTTTGCAGACTCCAACAGGTTTTCTTCCAGAATGGTCCTGCATTTGGCTCCATCCATCTTCCCATCAATTTTAGCCATCTTCCCTGTCCCTGCTGAAGAAAAGCAGGTCCAAACCATGATGCTGCCACCACCATGTTTGACAGTGGGGATGGTGTGTTCAGGGTGATGAGCTGTGTTGCTTTTACGCCAAACATATCGTTTTGCATTGTGGCCAAAAAGTTCGATTTTGGTTTCATCTGACCAGAGCACCTTCTTCCACATGTTTGGTGTGTCTCCCAGGTGGCTTGTGGCAAACTTTAAACGAGACTTTTTATAGATATCTTTGAGAAATGGCTTTCTTCTTGCCACTCCTCCATAAAGGCCAGATTTGAGCAGTGCACGACTGATTGTTGTCCTATGGACAGACTCTCCCACCTCAGCTGTAGTTATCTACAGTTCATCCAGAGTGATCATGGGCCTCTTGACTGCATCTCTGATCAGTCTTCTCCTTGTTTGAGATTAAAGTTTGGAGGGACGGCCGGGTCTTGGTAGATTTGCAGTGGTCTGATACTCCTTCCATTTCAATATAATTGCTTGCACAGTGCTCCTTGAGATGTTTAAAGCTTGGGAAATCTTTTTGTATCCAAATCCGGCTTTAAACTTTTCCACAACAGTATCTCGGACCTGCCTGGTGTGTTCCTTTGTCTTCATGGTTCTCTCTGCGCTTTAAACAGAGCCCTGAGCCTGTCAAAGAGCAGGTGCATTTATACGGAGACTTGGTTACACACAGGTGCATTCTATTTATCATCATCAGTCATTTAGGACAACATTGGATCATTCAAAAGATCCTCACTGAACTTCTGGAGTGAGTTTGCTGCACTGTACACCAAGCTTTAACCAGAGGAGACCAGAGAGAGAGACCAGAGAGAGACCAGTGGAGACACGCATCATGACTTACACCAAGTTTTAACCAGGAGACCAGAGAGAGAGAGAGACCAGAGGTAACCTGCACCATGACTCACACTAAGCTGTAACGAGAGAGAGAGAGAGAGAGCGAGAGAGCGAGACCAGAGGAGACCTGCACCGTGACACACAGGGCTGTTACTTCAAGAGCAACAGAACTGTAAACTAACCTGACCCTGGTCCACTGTGGTATGGACTGGAGGCTTCGCCATTCTTTATGTGGCACCAACATAACAAGAGAGACCAAAGAGGGATCAGAGAGAAAGAGCAAAAGAGACCAGAGAGAGTGACCAGAGGGAGACCATACAGAGACCAGAGAGAGAGCGACTGAGAGAGACTAGAGATAGAGTCTCTCTAGAGACCAGAAAGAGAGTGGTTACAGTGGTTCCCTGAGTGAGGGTCCCGACAAGGGTTGCCAACTTGAGAACAGAAAAATAAGGGACAACATTTGAGTGGATTGGGTTGAGCACTTTTTGGTTGTCCTAATTTCTATCTGCAAAGAAATCATGGATTTTCATATTCACCGTTTTTGGAATGTAATTTATTAACTACAAATAAATAAAACAAATCCTTAGTCAGCCTACGTTTGACCATAGCCTAAAAAGAATGTATAATTTCTTAATAACTGTAATAACTTCTTGCGAATGACTTCACATTGTGAACAAGGGACTGCCTGCTAACAACTAAACAACAATTACCTATACCAGCCATTCCCAAACTCAGTAACACCGAGGCCCCCTTAAAAATCTGACGGGTCTGCGTGGCCCCCCAAAATAATAACCAAGAAGACAACATTAAGAATAGGCTTTTCTGGTTATTTTAGGGGAAATAGCCTCTGCTACAAACATTGTAATACAAAAATGATTACAGTGGATTATTCAAGTCAAATAATGAACACAAATATTTTAATATTACAAACAAAACATTATAAATTTAACATTAAATAATTATATATATATATATATATATTTTTTTTTTTATGACCCCCTGCAGTACCCTCGCGGCCCACCAGGGGGCCGTGGACCCCACTTTGGGAGACACTGACCTATACAATTTGGGGATTTTATAGGCCTATACTGTTTTTAACTATACATACAAAACTCATTCAAATTAACATAAGAAAGTCAGAACTCATTACACTATCTGCAGACTGTGAGTGATGCACTTAAGGCGGCTCTGAAAATACAAAAGCCGGAGGGGGAGAAAAGTCACAGAGGTGAGGCCGATTGATGGTGCGAAGACTGCGGCAGGGGGATCATCCGAGAGGGCAGAGAAGAACAGGAGAACGCAAGAAATGCCCTTCACCTCTGCTAAGGGGGAGCCTGCGAAGCCTATCACTTGAACCCGGCTTACTACAAATCAAGGAATTACATGCTTTACATTTCACACGATGGGAAGGGTTGTTGAGGTGGGGTAGGGGTCGCAGGCTTAAAACTTCGGGAACCCCCTATAACACGGTTCACCTTTCGTGGCCTCGTTCTTACCTAATCTGTCTGTGTGTGGAGATTCCTAAGTGTTTTCCTCTACATCTGCTACTGTCACGGTGCTCTGTGTCGTGCAGCAGGAGCGAGACAGAGACAGAGAGAGATAAAGAGACAGAGAAAGGAGAAAGGAATCTCTAAGACTTTTTCAGACTCAACCAAATGCTCAGCCGTTAGTCTAGACACAAGGCTGAAAAAATAGAATCTATTCAATAGATTATGGGAGAGAGGGAGGGGGGGGGGAGAGGGAGGGAGGAAGGAGAGAGGGAGGGGAGGTTTGCATCATCACTGTGTAATCCTGGATCTTTCCAAACAAGTCTTGTCTTGAGTCACTCCCCTTGTTACACCAGAGGAGACACTCACCTGCACCAGGAAGATGATGAGGAAGTAGAAGTTGGCGATTCTTCTGAACTGTTCGAACAGATTCTTGGGGACGAAATTCCATATTGTGTACTGAAAAACACAAGCAGCGTCAACAAATTAGATTCAAATATTGCAGCCTCAGACCAGGGTCTACAGCCTCAGACCAGGGTCTACAGCCTCAGACCAGGGTCTACAGCCTCAGACCAGGGTCTACAGCCTCAGACCAGGTTCTACAGCCTCAGACCTGGATCTACCAGAGAGAGCGAGACCTGAGACCAGAGAGCGAGACCAGAGAGCGAGACCAGAGAGCGAGACCAGAGAGCGAGACCAGAGAGCGAGACCAGAGAGCGAGACCAGAGAGCGAGACCAGAGAGCGAGACCAGAGAGCGAGACCAGAGAGAGAACAGAGAGAGACCAGTGAGAGAGCAGAGAGAGCAGAAAGAGAGCAGAGAGAGAGAGAGACTGTCCCAGCTCAGTGTGTCATACCTTGGATGAGATGATGCGGTTGTCGGCGAAGCGTTGGGGGACGTAGTGGCCGTTTAGTGGGAAACGATTGGCCACGTATATTGTCCTGGTGTCGCTCTGATGCGGAGGATCAAAGCCCTGCAGACAACACAAAGTCACACGTGAGCATTGGACAAAAGTCAGAGAATCTCTATCATCAGATGTCCAAATCATTTCCAACATATCTGCACAAAGACACAACACATTCAGCCAAATACATGGAACAAGTGCAATTCTGAACCAAAGTCCTGAACTTTCAAATGGTCTGTCTAAATCTCGATGTCATTGATCTCAAACACTACTTTAACTTAGCAGCAGAGGGCTGTAGATTGGATGATATCTATATCTAGGTTAAAATTAAATCTGTTTAGCTGTGCTTACTGATTCTATTTAGTACGATTTATTGCTGTTATCTTCCTTTTTAAACTCACATTTTACCCATACTTTTATGCTACTGTTTTAATATGAAATTATTGTATATTTAATTGACTTTATGCATTTTGTGTTTTTTAATTGCTCTTGTGAAGCACCATGAATTTGCTTGTACACAAATTGTGCTATACAAATAATTGATTGATTGATATGATTTAAAATGGCTTCTTTCCCATAGAGTTGTGTTGGCACCCCTCCCAATGAAAAAGAATTCAACAACATAAAAAAATAACAGGCCTTTCTCGACCTTTGTGATTTGATAAAAGTTGAGGTACCTAATTTTCAAACTCCCAAAAAAATGTAATAAAATCCATGTCTCTAGTTCCTGACTCTAAAACAGTGGCCTTTTGAAGCAAGAATATAAATTAATAAATTCCAACTTTTTGCTCCACAAAGTGATTCTTGTTATATTTCATGGGTCAAAATTAAAGCAGGAGATGGGTTTGACATTATTGGTTATCGTTATCGGCAGACATAAAATTATCAATATCGGTTGAAATTTGCATTATTGTGCATCCCTAGGCAATACATTAAAATCATGACTATTTATAGTGCATTAAAAAAATAGAACAGATGCAATCCTTCAGTTGTTGCAGCGAAACAGAACTGTTTTAACCTGGATGTTAACATTGTCAGAGTAGAAGCCCGTCTGATACGCTACCTCCACATGTTTAGTCCTGAATGTGAATCTGGGACCAGCAGGAGGCCAGTCCCTGTGCTCCTCAGAGTTGGTTCATATGGAAGGAACATGTCAGATACTTTAGAACGAGGCCAGGGAGAGACTTGCTTTAAGTCTGTTCTATTGAAAGCCACAGTTTTGAGATTGGTCTAGATCTGAATCAAATTGAACCGCAGTAGGAGTTATGTCGGTCTCTTAGTAATTTCTTGTTTCCTTTTTGTAAGCGACACAAACAGCAGCTTAAGTGCAGTCACAGAACAATATATTTTGAGCTGCTGCTCCAGACCGCCTGAAGGCCTCCTGTGTTTCTTCATCATTAATACGTCTCACCGCACAGTAGCTTAAGTTAGCTTTAGCCACTACTGCAGAGATGTTGATCTGTCTGAGAAAGGCTCCGCTACTCTTCAAACTCAAACTGTACTGAACTTTTAGGCTTCTGCTCCAGTGTCATAGATCTTGATATGGAGTTAGGATTAAGAGATTGCGAAGTATTTATATGTTATAATTACACGGCTCCTCACAGCAGCAGTAGAATGCTCCATTGATTTGAATGTAATTTCAAAACGTTCTACCGGTCATTATTTCCTGATAGCAGACCTCTCAAAACAATAATGACAATTCAGGTCAGATCAGTGGTAGATTTTTGTTAACAAGCAGTATCATCTCTGCCTTTTCACATCCCAACCTGTTTCGTTTGTCATCGATTACATTTGTGGCAGCAGAAAATAAGCGTTCGCTGTGGCTTTACGTTTGCCGGGTGCGCTACTGTTCTTTGGGTTCGAAGCACAAGTAGCTTTGTATAGCTTCCATTCATTTTCACGATGGTGAATTTTGACGTGACTTATGAGATTTATTGTGTTGAAGCTCGTCGACTTTACCCCTCCTTGTGAAATTTCTGCAGAACACGTTTTACAGACTGCGAGTGAATTGTCTTGGTCAGACACGGTAAAGAATGCCCACACTGGTGACTGCCACACCATGATGTCATTTCTGAGTAAACAACAACAAGCGTGTGGTTCGGTGACGCAAAAAATATGCGACATTTCCTTACGGGAGTGGAGGGGTTGAGAAGAGAGCCATCAGCACGAGCCATGACAGACAGTTCAAAAGGCAAAATGGAGATGATGTCTTTACCAATATCGGCTTATTTTATTGATTGATTTCTTACTATCGGACTTATCGTCATAATTGCCAATAATTTCCGATAATTATCGGGCACCGATATTATTGTGCATCCCTAGTCTTGTTTGATAGTCTCTTTGTCTTGTTGAGCACTTTGAGTTGCCTCGTGTATGAACTTTGCTCTACAAACGAACAAAAGTAAAAAGGCTGGCATTGTGGGTCTTTCTTTGAAATGTTGATTAAACAAATTCCTAGTTTCAGACTTGTTACAGACATGGCAATAAAATCATTTTGATTCTGTCTAAACATAAAATAATAATTTAAAAAAAAATAATAATTAAAGCCGCAAGCGGCGATGAAAGGCCTCGCCCCTCTTGCGACCGCCTCCTGGGCGCCAGTCCCACAAGCGTCACGGCGACGAATTGGCAGCCCGATCTGACCAGGATTACGTACATAAAAGCTCATTTATATGATAAAGTGCGTCCCTAGTGGTCCCCTCCGGGACATGCACCCTCTACGTAGAGTAGTGTTTTGCTCGTACAGATGTAAAGATTTGATTTTGCAACTTTGGTGAAGATCGGAAAAGTTTAGGTCAGAAGCCTTCCATAGGTGGCGCTGTAGAGTCATATTAGGTGTGTGTTTTCACACCATTACTCTCAGGTCATTACCAACTGTTAGTGATGTGAGTTTCAGCTCTGTAGGTCTGAGCCTGTGTTCAGGAGAGCATCAAACATGGAGAAATTCCCCACTACCTCGCATGAAAACGATAACAAAATTCTAACTTTTATGCGATGATTGCATAACTTCAATCCGTCCAGATGGAGAAATGACATGGTAGAAGTCTGTGCGATGAAAATCCAGGGACTAGTACGAAGCCAAAAATGCGACACCTTGAACTGCCTGTAGGTGGCGCTGTTGCACTCACAGTTTGTGTTGTATATTGTTGTGTTCAGGGTCATACGCTGTATTACTGAATTCATTTTTAGCCTCATCGGACAAACATTTTGCCCCAAAAAGCTCCTTCATTCATTTTTCCGGCGCCCCCAGTGGTCAGGTGTAGGACTTACAACTTTTGCGTAATGTAATGTTTTGCTCGTCTCGGTCCAGAAAATACACTCAGCGATTTTCGGGCCGATCCGAGCACTAGTGCCCTATTACTTTCCGACAGGTGGCGCTAAAGAGCTCATATTGGGCGAATGATTTTAGTGTCATTGCGTTCAGGCCATAACCTAATATTACTGATGTGAGTCTCAGCTCTGTAGGTCTGAGCCTGTGGCCCTCAGGGCTCAGCGAAAATGGCCAAAACGAAGGCCTTATTCGCCATGGCGAGGGACGAAAACGGTGAAGATTTTCTAACTTTTTTTCGATGATTATATAACTTCAATCCGTCCAGATTGGGAACTGACGTGGTAGAACTCTGTGTGTGATGAAAAACCAGGGACTAGTTCGAATTTCTAAATGAAAAGTCAAATTAGTGGCGAAACTTCGGCCCATCATGGCCGACTTCCTGTTGGTCCCAGACATGTGCTTAGAACGGCTTTTATGCTCGACTCATAGAGATCTATCACTCATCCGAATTTCGTGTACCTACTCAAAAATTTGAAAAAAAATCCCCAGAGGGTCAAAAAAAATGAAATTTCTAGGGGGCATTATAGAGTCGGCGAGCGTCGGACAATCTGGAAACGTTCATTTTATCAAATTTTTCGCCGAACCGGTCGTTTTAGACCCCCCATGTGCAGACTTTCGTGCATGTCTTCAGGGTCAAAAATCGAATTGAAGTTGCGGAAAATAAATAAGAATAATAATTAAAGCCGCAAGCGGCGATGAAAGGCCTCGCCCCTCTTGCGACCGCCTCCCGGGCGCCGGTCCCACAAGCGTCACGCCGACGAATTGGCAGCCCGATCTGACCAGGATTACGTATATAAAAGCTCATTTATATGATAAAGTGCGTCCCTAGTGGTCACCTCCGGGACATGCACCCTCTACGTAGAGTAGTATTTTGCTCGTACAGATGTAAAGATTTGATTTTGCAACTTTGGTGAAGATCGGAAAAGTTTAGGTCAGAAGCCTTCAATAGGTGGCGCTGTAGAGTCATATTAGGTGTGTGTTTTCACACCATTACTCTCAGGCCATTACCAACTATTAGCGATGTGAGTTTCAGCTGTGTAGGTCTGAGCCTGTGGTCAGGAGAGCATCAAACATGGAGAAATTCCCCACTACCTCGCATGAAAACGATAACAAAATTCTAACTTTTATGCGATGATTATATAACTTCAATCCGTCCAGATGGAGAAATGACATGGTAGAAGTCTGTGCGATGAAAATCCAGGGACTAGTACGAAGCCAAAAATGCGACACATTGAACTGCCTGTAGGTGGCGCTGTTGCACTCACAGTTTGTGTGTTGCATATCGTTGTGTTCAGGGTCATACGCTGTATTTCTGAATTCATTTTTAGCCTCATCGGACAAATATTTTGCCCCAAAAAGCTCATTCCTTCACTTTACGGCGCCCCCAGTGGTCAGGTGTGGGACTTACAACTTTTGCATAATGTAATTTTTTACTTGTCTCGGTCCAGAGATTACACTCAGCAATTTTCGGGCCGATCCGAGCACTAGTGCCCTATTACTTTCCGACAGGTGGCGCTAAAGAGCTCATATTGGGCGAATGATTTTAGTGTCATTGCGTTCAGGCCATAACCTAATATTACTGATGTGAGTCTCAGCTCTGTAGGTCTGAGCCTGTGGCCCTCAGGGCTCAGCGAAAATGGCCAAAACGAAGGCCTTATTCGCCATGGCGAGGGATGAAAACGGTGAAGATTTTCTAACTTTTTTTTGATGATTATATAACTTCAATCCGTCCAGATTA